CATTTAATTCTCTTAATCTCATTTAATCCTTGTGCCTGTTTTTATGAACTCGTGTAAATCTGAGGCATAATAGGGATTGGAAGCGTTTGATGCTTTTATCAGAAACAAGGGGAGAACTTACAGCTCAGATCATCCAGTCTGTGGACAGACGTCTGAGGGACACCAGGTCCTGGAGAGGAGATGACGGATTAGATTATCTGGGGTTCGTTTATCCTCCAACTCTAATAGCAGCTGATAGAACAACATCTCGGTTGAACCCCAGATAAAAATGAGCCTGCAGGGCCAAACCTGCTAACTTAAAACCCAGATCAGCGTTAGAGTCTGTTACCTGTGCAGGTGAGGAGGACATGCTGGTGAGTGGAGCTGATGGAGGCATCATAGAAGGAACAGTTGGGTCTGAAGAGCGAGCAGCTCAGACACGTTTTACGAAACGGGTCCACGGTGGAAACCCTGTTGGAGGAACGTCAGCTTTACTTGTGAAACCTGTTTTTAGCTTCCAGCACACTAAAAGTCGTTTTTACATTATAAAAAATAAAGCCCCACCCCCAGAGGTAGGTGGTCCTGGTTTTCAGAGGCCACATCCTGCTGGAGCAGAGAAACATCTGAAATATGCAGGATGGTGGCCCTTGAGGACCAGAAAGCTCAACCTCTGGATTCTAGTGAATCTTAAGCCTGGTTTATGCTTCTCCATCAGCTCCGCAAGTGACAGACATGCACGGATTGATGGAAGCGTTTTGCTCTTTTACTTCTCCGTCTCCTGGAGAGTGTTGCAAAGCAATTGCCCAGCAGGACAGCAGAGGGCGTAGCGCTGTTCTGTGGTATCCTGTCATGTATTGGTCCAAGATAGTGTGTTTATATTGTGTTTTTTGTGTATATAAGAGACTTTTAACATGGACACATTTGTCTCTCATTCTCCCACCGCTTCATGTGCTCCCCACCTCTAAACCCACGTTTCCTGTCATTTCCGTCCACAAATAAAACACTTGCTGCACATCTTTTCACTCCTCCAGTCACTGGAGGATGAAACGTTCATATTTTTAGAGTTTTTTCGCGAGGTATTCTTCAAGCTTCTCCGTGTCTGCCGCTAGTTATCCTCGGCTCTCTTTGCAATGGCGGCGCTGTAAACAACAGCGGCGTCCTGACCAATCACAAGCTTGCGTAATCCGTCTCGTTCGACGGATGTTTAAAAAAGTGGGCTCGACTCCGTACGTACTTGCGTGCCCTACGCAAGGACGGATAATGGCGTTGCATGTCTCCGCACGCAGACGGAGAAGCATAAATCAGACTTTAGTGTCTCGGTTTGGTCTCCAGATCCTCCCACAGCTGTTTCTGAGCCCAGCTCTAGGTTCCGGCGCTGCTCAGACCAACGTTGTTACATCCGTGTTTCACATTAGAACCCGGGAACACAGAGCAAGTGGAGAATCATCACAAGGTTCTGGAGACAAGTTGGAAGCGGTCAGATGCTGAAGAGAGACAGACCCTGGAACCGGGCTCAGGTTAGCTTCTGATGTATGAACCAGCGTTTGGAGGAGACACAATTCCAGAGATCAAACATGCCTTTGAGTTCAGTTTGCTTCCATCCAGGAAGTTTCTATGATTTTGTGCCTCCAACCCAGCGAGAACCTGCCTTTATCTCAGAAACAGGTACCACCTGAGATCAAAGGTTTCACCTGAAAACATCACCTCACCTGTACAGCTGCCTCTGGGTTGGGCCATCTTCAGCACTAATAAAATACCTGAGAAGCATCAAGTCATTAAAGATTTGTCATGATGGATTTTTCCAGTGTGCTGCTGCGTCTGCAACTTACAGCCAGTTTCGTTTCTCATCGTAGCTCAGAATTTGAGACACGTCCCAGTTCCCAGAGGTCAGGTGTCGGACGTTCACCTCCTGGCTGCTGGACTGAAGATCATGGGGAAAAAAAACACAGCTGGAAAAGCTCAGAGTTGATTTTAATGTGTTTCTGCCTACAAGCCGACTTCAGCAGCAGGAACACGAGTTAATCTGGTGAGGAAACCCCGAACAACACTCCCCTCCGTTAATTCTTAATGTTCTGCTCTTTTCTCTTTCAGGAAATGGAGACGAGTTTAATTTAAAAGGACGGGACTTCAAACGCGAGTCATAAAAGCTGCGTGAATAATTACAAAGCTCTGCTGCAGGCGGAGAACCAGAGAACAAGAGAGGAGTGAAGAACAAAGACACCAGAAGAGAACTAAACATTTTCATGTTATTAAACCAAACTCTAATATTTGTACTTGGTTGGAGATCATGGTGATGTGGTTGAAGGCGCCGTGATTGCCATCCTTCAGAGGCATGGTGATGAAGAATGTGGTGCAGTCATCAGAGAACAGCGGTTCCTCATTCTGGAAGACAAATTGTCTTAAAATTAAAAAAATACAGCAGAGGAATCCTCAAGTACAATTATCTAACACTGTAATAATAATAATAATAATAATAATAATAATAATAATAATATCCCTCTCTGGCTCAAAATAAGTTTTGATAAAAGGACGAACAACTAAGTCCTTCAGGGGAACTTCTGAATTGAAAATTGCTCATGAATACGTATGTGGAGTGACCAGGTAGGTAGGTTTTAACGTTGCACATCTGCAACACCTGCCTCCAGAGGTTAATAATAATAGCATTAACAGTAACTTTTTCTGATTCTTCACTGAAACAAATTAAAAACTTGGATGGATTAAATTCAATTTTTACCCAAATGACAATAAAGACGAGCCCAGTGATTTGTTTGACTATAATAGTCCGTTCAAATATAACTAAGTTAACAGCGAGGCTGATCTCTGATCAGATTTCTTCTGTTCTGGCTTGAATCAGCAGTTGAAATAACAATACATAATTTTTAAAACAATAAATATTCAGAATTATCATCATTTTACCAGAAAACGTGACGTATTCTTAACGGAAAAAATGCTTAGTCTGGTTTTATTTTGAAATTATGAAAATAAAATGATTGTGAATGAACTCACCTGATGATCCAACCACTTCTCTGATGTCATCACATGTTTCTGGAAATGCAAAATAAGTCAGATCATGTTCCTGACTTATTTGGTCTCATTGATAATAACGATAACAATACCAATAATCGTCATAGTCTTCCTCCGGGTCGCGGGGGCTGCATCCCAACTAGGGAGCTCCATACCGTCCTCTCACCGGCCTTCTCCACCAGCTCCTCCGGCTGGACCCCAAGGCGTTCCCGGACCAGATTGGAGATGTAACCTCTCCAACGTGTCCTGGGTCGACCCGGGGGCCTCCTGCCGGCAGGACATGCCCAAAACACCTCCCCGGGGAGGCGTCCAGGAGGCATCCTGACCAGATGCCCAAACCACCTCAACTGGCTCCTTTCGATCTAGAGAAGCAGCGGTTCTACTCCGAGTTCCTCCCGAATGTCCGAGCTCCTCACCCTATCTCTAAGGCTGAGACCGGCCACCCTACGGAGGAAACTCATTTTGGCCGCTTGTATCCACGATCTCGTTCTTTCAGTCATTACCCAAATCTCATGACCAAAGGTGAGGATTGGGACGTAGATCGACCGGTAAATCGAGAGCCTGGCTTTCTGGCTCAGCTCCCTCTTCACCACGACGGATCGACTCAGCGTTTGCATCACTGCAGACGCTGAACCAATCCGCCTGTCGATCTCCCGATCCCTCCTACCCTCACTCGTGAACAAGACCCCGAGATACTTAAACTCCTCCACTTGAGGTAGGACCTCTCCCCCGACCCGGAATTGGCAAGCCACCCTTTTCCGGTCGAGAACCATGGTCTCAGATTTGGAGGTGTTGATCCTCATCCCAGCCGCTTCACACTCGGCCGCGAACCTGCCCAGCAAGGGCTGAAGGTCAGAGCTGGATGAAGATAGGAGGACCACATCATCTGCAAAAAGCAGAGATGAGATTCTCCTGCCACCAAACTCGACACACTCCACACCACGGCTATGCCTAGAAATTATGTCCATAAAGGTTATGAACAGAACCAGTGACAAAGGGCAGCCCTGGCGGAGTCCAACCCTCACCGGGAACAGGTCCGACTTACTACCGGCTATGCGGACCAAACTCAAACTCCTCTGGTAAAGGGATTGAATGGCCCTTAACAGAAAGCCACCCACCCCATACTCCTGGAGCGTCCCCCACAGGGTGCCCCTGTGGACACGGTCATAAGCCTTCTCCAAATCCACAAAACACATGTCGATTGGTTGGGCAAACTCCCATGCCCCCTCCATCACCCTTGCAAGGGTATAGAGCTGGTCCACAGTTCCACGGCCAGGACGAAAACCACATTGCTCCTCCTCAATCTGAGATTCAACTATCGATCGGACCCTCCTCTCCAGTACCTTGGAGTAGACCTTTCCAGAGAGGCTGAGGAGTGTGATTCCCCTATAGTTGGAACACACCCTCAGGTCACCCTTCTTAAAGATGGGGACCACCACCCCGGTCTGCCACTCCACAGGAACTGCCCCCGATGACCACGCAGTGTTGCAGAGACGTGTCAACATGACAGCCCTACAACACCCATAGACTTGATATACCCAGGACGAACCTCATCCGCCCCCGGGGCTCCGCCGCTGTGTAGTTGTATGACTACCTCAGCAACTTCTGCCCCCGAGATTGGACAGTCCAGGTCTCCCGGCTCTGGTTCCTCCTCGGAATGCGCATAGGTGGGATTGAGGAGCTCCTCAAAGTATTCCTTCCACCGTCCGACTATAGCCTCAGTTGACGTCAGCAGCTCCCCATCCCCACTGTAAACAGTGTAAGCGAGTTGCTGCCCTCCTCTCCTGAGGCGCCGGACAGTTTGCTAGAACCTCTTTGGAGCCGATCAGCGCTGGACTGACCATAGGGCATAGCGGGCAACTGCCCGCTGGGCCGACCCATTCATCTTTTATGGGCCGGTGTCTGTTTTTTTTTTTTCCTGGCCTCTAGTTGTTGCGGACAACTTGCCCGCGCCGCCCCACGCGACGCCTCGTAAAAGTTGGTGGATTGGCCAATTGGTAATAATACACTCTGGGCTGGACCAATAGCCAGAGGTCTGATGCACCCGCCAGTTGTTTGTGAATCTCAGTAAACAGACAGACGAGCTTAACAAAATGGAGAACAAAAAACGGAAAGGAGGAGCGGAGAAAATTCGACTAAAAAAGAAACTGGCCCTTCAGGCTGATGCTGGCACATGTGTTAAAATCTCACAGTTGTTTGGTAGTGAAGGTTCAAGTAAAATCAATTTAGGAAGTGATGGAGCCTCAGCCCAGCGACAGGTTGGAGAAGAAAAGAGGGAGGAGGAGGAGAAACCCGAGCCGGTGTTGTGCCATAAATTGACTCGCTGCCAAAAAATGATTAGCCACCGCGGGATCGCGCACGGTTAGGAAATTGCATTTCTAGACAAAATTCCCCAGGATTTCGCCCTAAAACTCGGCATATCTAGCAATATGGACATTCAGAAAGCAAAGATAACCTCTTCCGGTACTTAAACAGATGTTTATCGCGGATATTAGTGTGGCAGTGTTTGTGGCACCCTGCGCGGGAGGACGAGGACGTGCTTGTGGAAAGAGGGAGGAAGATGTGGCTGCGTGAGCGTCCTGTCACAATGTCCCGATTGATCATGCGCCCTGGCTACTGGGCTAAGGAGATGTCACTTTGGCTGACAGGTTAGAGCGTATGACTCTCACCCAGGAGTCTGGGGATCGAATCCCGCCCGGGCCCTCCTTTCTGCACCTTGCCACATTAGTTTTTCCAGTTCGGAAGTTGTTTTAAGTGTTGCTATTTGTCTTAAACGTTCACAATGAGGATATATTAATCCTTTTTGCAATATTTCCAGCGATTAAATTTTTTCCCCTTCCTTTCTTTAGTCCACTTGACATGGAGCCACAGTTAACTAGTTTGGGGCACATTTTTACTTGAAAAAAAGTATTTAAAATGATCAAGCTTTGGCTTTAATGACACTGTGTAGGTTACTATCTATACATTACGTTGCTCTATTTAAAAGTAACAAGATAAAAGCACTTCAGCACATAAAATTAAGATTGTCACTTGCCAAATAGAGACTACACCCTCCTGTTTACCTATAAGAAATGCCTCAAAATATCTTTAAATTCTTTATTGATGATTTAATTGTAGACAACTAAAATGGCATTTTACTTGCCAAAAAGTGATTGAATCGCTAAGATTTTCATGGAGGCTAAAATTGACCAAATAAGGGTTTTATGTATTATCTGTTGATGTTCCTGTACTACTGCCTACTGTGTCATCAAAAACACCCCAAAAATGGCAACAACAAAAAAAAGAAAAAAAAAGAAGATAATTTCCCTTGCCAAAAATTGATTACAGTGTCCTGGTCACGTGTAAAGGGTTACATTTACCTAAATATTACTTTATTTATTATCTCTTGATGTTATTAGTGCCATCACAGGACGCTGGGTGTCTTTCACATTCATAAACACTTCAAAAATGGCAACAAATGATAATTTTCCTTGCCAAAAATTGATCACAGAGTCCTGGTCACCCATAAAGGCTTAAATTGGCATAAATATTACTTCATTTATTATGATGCTGGGTGTGTTCCACAATCATATTCGAATAAACATGAAAATATTCTGTCTGAATATCTGTTTCTTGTTATAAATATAACAGCAAGAAGGATTTACAGTTAAAATAGGAGAAACACGTGACTCCCCAGGAAGGGTCGTAACACCACTTGCCTCATGCACATAAGTGAACAAATCAAAGCAGCATGGAGACACTCCGTCTCCAACCACCTCTCAGGCAGCAGCCTGCACTCCCAAGTTCTACACGTCACCAGAACATAAACAACTGCAACACAATAAAAGCAGTGTTATACAAAATGGAAGGCCTGTAGTGTTTATTCTCTTACAGTAACAATTTATCAATTTTTTGGAGGAATTTATTTGAGAATTTTTTGGTTTTTATTAATTGTGCAATAGAAAAGTAATCACTAGATTAATCATCTAAATAGTCATTAGAATAGTCGACTATTCGATAAAATAATCGTCAGAATAATCATTTTAAAAATAATCAGTTACCCCCAACCCTACTTTTTAGAATACCAGGATAGGAAGGATGGTGTAGGTTTACATTTATTAGATTGATACAAAAAATACTACCAATAAGAAAGTGTACGTTGGTGTGTGTCAGAAACAGCGTAAGGCTTAATGTCTTTTCCAAAAAAAAACAGGTGACGGGCCGGTCTCCAGTCAAAATGCCCGGGCTGAATTTTTGTCCCAGTCCAGCCCTGGAGCCGATCAATAGTCTTTCTCCATGGCCTCACCAAACTCCTCACATGCCCGAAATTTTGCCTCGGCAACTGCCACTGCTGCACCCCGCTTGGCTATCCGGTACATGTCTGCTGCCTCCGGAGACCCACAGACCAGCCACGCCCTGTAGGCCTCCTTCTTCAGCCTGACGGCTCCCCGAACCTCTGGTGTCCACCAGCGGGTACGGGGGTTGCCACCACGACTGGCACCGGCCACCTTGCGACCACAGCTTGCAACAGCCACCTCAACAATCGCAGAGTGGAACAAGGCCCACTCGGACTCAATGTCCCCCACTGCTCTCGGGACGCGGTCAAAGCTCTGCCGGAGGTGGGAGTTGAAGACCGTCTTAACAGGTTCTTCTGCCAAGCGTTCCCAGCAGACCCTCACTATGCGTTTGGGTCTGCCAGGTCTATGCGGCATCTTCCCCTGCCATCTGATCCAACTCACCACCAGGTGGTGATCAGGTGACAGCTCCGCTCCTCTCTTCACTCGGGTGTCCAAAACATACGGCCGCAGGCCAGATGATACGACTACAAAGTCTATCATCGACCTGCGACCTGGGCTGACCTAAGTCCAATAATGAAACACCACTGGAGTTCAGATCAGGCGGGCCGTTCCTCCCAATCACACCCCTCCAGGTCAAGCTGTCATTGCCCACGTGAGCATTGAACTCCCCCAGCAGGACAATGGAGTCCCCCGGTAACCCTCCTGGCCGGGTACTCCGACTTTAACTTTACCTCCATGAAAGATCCTGTGAATCGTTCTTTGTCTCTCCCTTCACCTAAGACCAATTTGTCATGGGAGACCCTACCAGGGGCACAAAGTGCCCCAGACAACAGCTCCTAGGATCATTAGGGCACTCAAACTCCTCCACCACGATAAGGTGACGGTTCAAGGAGCAATACCAATAATAACAACATTAATGACAATAATTCTACCAATAATAATAATAATAATCTCGTTCATCACCTTTATGCAGACGCCGGTCGTAGTATCACACAGCGAGAGAATCGACGTGTTTTGAACTCGGTTGACCCATCGGACGCTCAGCTTCTCGTGTGTCGCCCATGTTACCATGGTGATGTAGAATTCACTGTACAAAGAGAGAAAAACCCAGACACACACCGATGATGCGTTAGGCTCGCTAATGTCCAGATCCAGTGGCCTTCCTGCTCCTGGCGCTACATTTTAGGTGTTTCACGTTCACCAGAATGCTCCAGTTGTTTCCCGTTTTTTTCTTAGAAACCTTTATTAGTTACTGTTCCCCAGACAGACGTCGTTCCCTCCTCAACCCAAATGTTTCTACACTCAGGCTGACCCTGCAGCTCGTTTAGAGGCTGACTCGAGTCGTACCTCTCCACAAAACTGTCAGGAGGTCTCAGTTCTGTCACCAGCGAGCTGCCGTCCAGAGAGACGACATGAAGACTCACGCTGGGATTCATCTGCCCCATCTGGAATCGTAACACCAGAATATATTCACCACTACAATAGAATCTGATTTGTAACCTGGAATGTGAAACGCCCCATCGCCCATCAGCTGGACTACCTTTGGGTACGGGTACTCCTTCCCTCTTGGGTACAGAGAGCCTGTGAAGCGAGGCAGCAACATGGTTGGGACCATGGAGTCGTTGATGGTCAGGTAGGCCAGTCTGGATCCGTCAGGTGACCACCAGTGGGTCACCTGGGTGTGCAAAACCTCCTCTGAAAACAACAAACCAGACAGTTTATAAAACAGCATCCAGAGGAAATAAACCCTGTTTCTCAGAACAGAGGCTGTTCAGGAAGCATTTCCTGTAAAGACAGAATTTCTTTATGACTCATAGAAAAAATAAAACATGTAAAACTAGCAGAAGTATCCTGTTAGGAAAACTAAAGTAAACATTTAGATCCCAACTACAATCCAGATGTTTTAACTGAAAGTTTTCCAGCTTCATAATTTCATCCAGACTGCTTCCCTGGAAGCCAGAGCCTCCACATCAACGACATGAAAATACAAAAGAAGAACGTTTCTCCAAGAACATCTGTCATGTACGACTTCCTCTCAGATGTTATCCAGGTCCCTCATGATTAGTTTCACGGTAACAGGATGGTTTCTAGAGCAGAAGTTCGCTGCAGCGACACCGTTTCTGCAGGTTTGTGAACGAGGCCTAAAGGTGTTTGCTTTTAAAACTCTGACCCTCATAAAGCCAGTCCGCCAAGCCGTTGAAGACGACCCCCTCCTGTCCAGAAGACGTGAGTCTCCACGAGCTGCTCTGAGCGTGGGTTTGGTAGTAGATGTTGTTCTCAAATATGTACACCTGTGGAGCAAAGACAGTGACATTAACCTGATCCAGCCAGGAGCAAACACACCTGCACTTTACCTGCTTTAATGTTTTTGAGTCTGATTTAAAAATATAAATGCAGTGGCGTTTTTACTTCACAGTAACAGAAAACAGCTGGGATACCATAGTGACATTTTAGAGAAGCTCACCGTTGCCGTGACAACATCAGTGTCTGAATGTGGGAAAAAACGTCACTTTAGTATTTGTTTAGAAGAAGAAGAAAATATCATTTCTATAGCGCCTCTCAAGATAAAAATCACGAGGCGCTTCACAAAAACAAAACATGTAAAAATATAAAAAAGCATTTAGAAAATGTTTTAAAATATATTTAAAATGAGCAAAAAGAGACAATTGTGATTAAAAAAAGATAAGAAAGAGAGAGAGTGAACAGGAAAGAGGGAAATCAGTGGATCCTGAGGAAGGTGGAATAGGTGGGGAGAGCAGAATAAAGAGAGAGTGGTGAAGAAGGTCATACAAAAGCCAGCTTGAACAAGTGAGTCTTCAGCAGTTTTTGAAGGAGACCACTGAGTCCACTGATCTCAGGCTCAGGGGGAGAGAGTTCCAGAGTCTGGGGGCCACAGCAGCAAATGATCTGTCACCTTTGACCTTTAGCCTGGTGCGTTGCCCAACCAGTAGGCTTTGATCACTGGACCTCAGGGACCTGCTGGGGGTGTAGGGACTAAGAAGATCACCAATGTAAAATGGTGCTTGTCCATGTAAGGCCCTATAGGCCAGAACCAGGATCTTGAAATGAACCCTGAAGTTGACTGGCAGCCAGTGAAGCTGGAGGAGAAGCGGGGTGATGTGCGTGTGTTTGGAGGACTTGGTCAGAAGCCGAGCACAGGCATTCTGAACCACCTGTAGACGGTTCAGGGAGGTTCTGCTCAGACACGTGAAAAGAGAGTTACAGTAGTCTAAGCGTGAGGAGATGAAGGTGTGGAGAACTGTCTCAAGTTCAGAGCGGGACAGAATGGGACTCAGCTTAGCAACGTTCCTGAGATGGAAGAAGGAAGAGCGAACAAGAGAACTGACATGAGAATTCAGGGTGAGAGTTGGGTCAAAGGTCATGCCAAGATTCCTGACAGAAGGTTTGGTGTGAGAAGCAAGCTGACCAAGAGAGTCTCTGACTTTGGGAACCAGCTTGTCTGGGGCACAGATGAGGATCTCAGTCTTATCTTCATTCAGCTGAAGAAAGCTCCCACCATCCAGGTTTTGATAGAGTCTAAGCAGGTGTGTAACAGCTGCAGCTTAGACATCTCATGGGGCTTAAAGGAGATGTACAGTTGGATGCCATCTGCATAAAGATGGTAGGAGATTCCTTTGAAGGAGCTCAGGATGTGCTGAAGAGGAAGCAGATAGAGGAGGAAGAGCAGAGGCCCCAGCACAGAACCTTGTGGGACGCCATGGGTAAGAGAGGTGGTGGAGGACCTAAAGTTGGAGACGGCCACAGAAAAGGAGAGCACAGAGAGATAAGAGGAGAACCACTCCAGAGCAGATCCTGATAGGCCTACCCAGTCTCTCAGCCTCTCCAGTAGCAGGTGATGGTCAACAGTGTCAAAGGCTGCAGTCAGGTCCAGCAGGACCAGAACAAAACAGTCCCCTGCATCACTGTGAGTCAGAAGGTCATTAGAGATCCCAAGAAGAGCTGTTTCAGTAGAATGAGCTCTACGAAAACCTGACTGGAAGCTATCATAGATGTTATGTTCATCAAGAGCAGCTGTGAGTTGTTTAGCCACAACCTTTTCCAAGATCTTGGAGATGAACGGAAGTTTAGAGATGGGTCTGAAGCTGCTATGGAGAGAGGGGTCGAGACTCGGTTTTTTAAGAAGCGGGTGGATTACAGCGTTCTTAAAGCAAGCAGGGACCTGACCAGAAACCAGAGAAGCATTAATTATAGAGAGCACGCTGGGGCCGATGGACTGAAAAGCACTTCTAAACAAAGATGAGGGTAAGATGTGGAGCGGGCATGCAGAGGTCTTCATAGAGTTAACTATTTTGGTTAACTCATGCAAAGAAACAGGAGCAAAGCTATCTAGGATGATGGGCCTGGTTCGAGTCGGGGGAGGCGGCGATAAGGCTGAAGGAGAGATGCTAGATCTAACCTTATTGACTTTGTCCACAAAGAAAGACAGAAAGTTCTCACAGTCTGCAACAGAGTGGATGGAGGCTGTAGGAGAGGCAGGAGAGACGATGCTGCTGATGGTGTTAAACAGCACCTTGGGGTTCCCTTTGCTCTGGGACACCAGGTTGGAGAAATAGGAAACCCTGGCGTCTCTGACTGCAGAGTTAAAGGATGTCAGGAGATCCTTTAGGTGCAGCAGATGGACGTGGAGATGGGTTTTCTTCCACAAGCGCTCAATTTTTCTTTATTGGCGCTTCAGGCTGTGAAGGCTGTCATTAAACCAGGGAGTAGGGTTCACTGCAGGAACTGATCTGGTTCTGACAGGACAGATGTTGTCCAGAATGGAGAGGCAGTGCTCGTTAAACTGAGAAGTTAAGGAATCTGGGTCGTTATCAGAAGAACAGGGTGGATCAAATGCAGCAGAAAAATTGCTAGCTGTGCTCTCATTAAGAAAACGAGAACTAACCATACGGCGAGCAGGAGGTGGGGACGCAGAAAATGACAAGTTAAAGAAAATGCAATGGTGATCTGAAATATAAACGTCCCCAGGACAAACACTGTCAGCATTTAGACCCAGGGTAAAAACAAGGTCTAGAGTGTGCCCCCTGGTGTGTGTGGGGCCAGAAACATGCTGGGTAAAGCTGAAGGAGTCCATAAAGCTGGAGAAATTCATGGCAAAGTGATCAGAGGGATCATCAACATGGATGTTAAAGTCACCAACAATCACCAGTCTGGACAGCTTCACAGTGGAGGATAGAAAGTCACTAAACGCCTGAAGGAAAGAACTGTTTGGACCAGGTGGACCACAGCACAGTAGAACGGGTCCTTACGCCCGACTTTAATCAGCTGAAGTTCAAAGGAAGCAAAGTGACCAGAGGTTGTAGAGCTACATGGAAGATGGTCTCTGAAAACAACAGCCAGGACTCCACCACGACCAGAACCCTGGGGCTGGCTAAGAAAAGAATAACCACTCGGACAAAGTTCAATCATACCAGAATAATCAGATGTTTGCTGCCAAACTTCAATCAGAAAGAGAAAATCCAGGTTTTTAGAGAGAATTAGATCATTGAGCAGGAAGGACTTATTGTCAAAAGAGCGGGTGTTCAATAGAGCCATGCTGAGTGAGGTGGAGGAATCAGAAACTACAGAAACAGCTGGAGTTAGTGGACGTAAATTAGCAGGGTTAGATCCACGGTGTTTATAAAAACCACTTATGGAGGGAACAGGAGGAGAAACCACTGAGGAATGAGAAAAAACTGAACTTAAAAAACTTGGACGGAGAAACCGCGCTGCGGGAATGTGGAAGTAGCATTCAAGTCGCCAAACAAAGGACAAAAAGAAGATCGTGCCAATGTTTACCAGATAAATCACGCTTTAAGAGAAGTCTCATTCTCACCTGGATTCATGCTCGTTTACCTCTTTTCCTCCAACGTTTTCCCGGGAGCGGATAAACATCGCTGGAGGCGCGCTGATTGAGATCGACGTAAACATCGCTGGAGGCGCGCTGATTGGGATCGTCATTTGGCTCCGGGTCAGTGCGCCACCTTATTGTTTATTTTACAATTTTTTGTTATAGCGTGAAACCTTTAATACAGGCCGGTATTCAATTAAAGGCCGGGTCTCCAATTTTGGCCGGTGTCGGAGTCCGCGGAGGTAAATAATGGCCGGTCTCTTATTGTGGCCGGGTGGAATGTGGTAACAAGCAAGTATGACCGTCCCAGCAGCAGGGTTATAGTCCCCAAATCAACCAGCAGGAGGCAGTAGAGATTTACACAGACCTTTATTGGACTTTTCCTTCTATGCTTTGTAACGCTACAGACACGATCCTCTATCATGCTCCTACCACACAGAGTCACGGTGTCAGTTAACCATGCTAATTCAACCTGCTCCACAGAACACACATCACCTTCCCTGTGGCTTACATAACACTCACACAACACGCAAATCAGCACATAGGAACTAGCAGAACGATAGGAAACACATATAACACAATACCCAGAATGCACCTGGCTTACAACCCCAGCCAGGTCATTACACTATCAAGTTCAAAGAGAACGTGCTGATTATGCTGCAGAACACTATGGAGAGCAGCAGTAGGGGGTGTATGAACTAGTCAACTTCACTATACAGGAATCCCTCGCTACTTCGCGGTTCGTTCATCGCGGATTCGCTGCTTCGCGGATTTTTTCTTTGGAGCATTTTTCAGGGGGAATTCGCAGATTCGCGGTATTTTTCACTGATTCGCGGTATTTTTCTATGCGAAATATCAAGAAATTTTTGTTTTTTTCATCAATTTCATCATAAAATGCACTTTTTGTAATAAAACTAAAAAAAAGAACAAGTAAAAAAAATTTTCTTGAGTTTTACCCACAAAAAGAGAATGCGATCATACGATAATTCAATAGGGAGTGTGGTTTCACAGATGCGGAAGTGATAGCGTCGATGAAACGCCGGCTGATCTAGGAAACCCCCGAGCGTTCGAGCGTCAACGAAGTGACACGGAAATGCCGGGCTTTCCAGAAGTAAGTAAGATAACTTACTATGAGCTGATAGTTCGTTGGATTGATCGGTAGGTTGGAAACTCTGATCATGAATCTGAAGAAACGATGACTGAGTGGTGAGCTGGAAAGGCGACTTCCGTTTATAGCCGCGGTTTGTAACGTAGGTGCAACGTGGAGGGAATCCCCGCGAGGGGCATGCTGGGAGTCCCTACTACGGATTTTCACCTATCGCGGCCAGGTCTGGAACACATCTACCGCAATAAACGAGGGATTACTGTAGTGACTTTTTATGCCTGTCGTCGACTAGTCGCTGTCACGTGATAATGACCGGCAAGATGCAGCCCTCGGAAAAGACAGCAGCCTGCTATCAGCAGGTGACAAGCTCCTGAGCTCGGGGGGGGGGGGGGGCAATGCGCTGTGCCAGACCGTAGGTACGGACACGCGATCGTTCATGTCGGTTAATTTCCTTTAATGTTTTCTGTCTTTTATTTGCGCCTGATGTGTATCGCTGCTGTGGAGCGGGGTGCTTCACCTTGTCCTCGGACGCACAGATCACTGATGCGCCGGCAAGCAGGGAGCGCTCCGCTGTTTTCGCGGTCGGTAGATCTGCCTCCTGAGCACGGCCACAGTAACAATCAGGTGTCACCACCTCAAAAACTAATTTAACACGCGATCATTCATGTCAGTTCATTTCCTTTAATGTTTTCTGTCTTTTATTTGCGCCTGATGCGTTTCGCTGCATGCTGTGGAGCGGGGCATCACCTTGTCCTCCGACGCACTGATCACCGCTGTTTTTGCGGTCGGTAGATCTTTTAGAACTGCAGTTCAAAGGTAACCCATGAGGTGAATATATATGAACCCAGGTAGCAGTTTTTCTTTAGGACTGAGAGGAGATGCAGGAAGATAATTAACAGGCAGGACAGAAAAATAGTCAAATAAAAACAAGTTAGTTTTTGTACCTGCTGTTGCAACAAACAGACACCATTGAAGGTCATCAGAAGTGAGGAACAGAAAATGAAATAATTATTTTAATGTTTAGAGCAGCAGGAACTCCAAGAGGCTGCAGGCGCATCAGTGAGTTTGCGCCGCTGCGCAGGGGGAGGGGGGAGAGGGCTGAAGCAGGGGGAGGGGGGAGATGGCTGAAGCAGAAACTACCGTTGTTAAAAGAAATGTGTTTAACTTTGAAAATGTGGGCGCAAATTTGTCAAAAACTCCAGCGAACCATTAGTTCATTTTGCTCATTTAGAAATAGAGGCATGCCTCTAATACTGGCCCTCCTTCCAATAAAGGCCTGGAGCTTGATGAGCTTGAGTCAAATACAGGCCCGGGCCTGTATTAGAGGATTTACGGTATTTCTAAACATTTAAAGTCACAAAAGGAGAACAGATTGGTTCACTCTGCCCACTCACTTTCATCTTCGTTTCAGCATCAAAAAACTATTTTCCAATAAAACGTCTTAAAACCACTGGAATCAAAGTCTGGAAAAAAGATCCAAGGTCTGTTTATAGTTTCTAATCAGGAAAATGTCCTTGTTGTTGACTTATAAGAGGCGGGGCTTAAAACTTATGATGCAGTCCAGCGCTAGGGGGAGTTTGGTTTAAACTCTGGGATCTGTTTCGGGTTCTAGGTATTAAAAAGGTAAGTGTCCAACTCAAAGCCTCAATCTAACATCTGTGATGCATGGCCATATTTCAATAACCCCCCTCTCACCAGTTGCTGACCCTGAACGCCCCATGAGGCGAACTGCAGAACCGAGTCCGACACCTCTGGAGGGTTGAGCTCCCGGACCTCCCTGGAATGTTGGAAACACTCAGATGAATCTCTGTAATGTTCTAACGGTTCATTTTTAGTAGATGCACAGACAGAAAAACCAAACGAGGTTTTATTTATGGTCGTAAAAAACTTCATTATAATTATTTCAAACATAAAATATGAATTTCACAACATATATTTCAATGCTATTTATTTATGTTTGACTTTAATCCTCCCCGTATATAAAGCATATCAATCCTTTCAACTGGACCAAATTATTATTTATGTAAGGTTTAAATAAAGTTATTATGAAAGCCCCAGACGTCCCTGCTGGACCTCGAGCCTCACCTTGTGTGCAGGTTATAAACCAGATACGAAGCCAGGAACGAGTGCTGGTAAACCTAAAGTTCAACAAAAAGATGATTAATAAGATCGTCCTCCACATTTCAAAATAAGACAGGAAGTAAAGCACACATTGGTTTTCTTTTTACTCCCAGACGATTTTCTCTCCTCGCCCGTGGAGACGGATTCATCCATCTTTCATCAGACCGTCACTTCCTGCTCTTCCTTCAGACTCATTTGTTTCCGTTGCTTTTTGCACAAATGCGTTTTTCCTGATTGATGTTCGAGCATCTTGTTCTCTAGTCTCCTCTCTTTAGCAGCTTTCTGTGATCTTTGCCAAACATCGCCGTTTGCATTTGGTCAAATGAGCTAAGAACAACAAGGCTGATGTTTTGTTTCCCAGATTCCTCGTCTACATCGAGTGGTTCCCAGATTTATGAACCTCATTATGAGTGAAACTGTTTCCCTTTACAAACGAACGGCCGATTTAAATGAAACATAAATATTTTCTCCTCTCAGAGCTGCTAATTTAATTTCCTTCTGATTTTCTGGTCTGGATAAGACCTCCTCAGAGGTTAATTCACCCCAACATTAAACAGCAATAAAGGGCTGCTTGCCCAACATTTCAATTATCACAACTGCTTTACTGTGCAGCTCAAACAGCATAAAAACGAACATTTTTCTGTCGTTGCAAACATAAAGGACCAAAAACAAGCCACACAAATGATGCAGGATGGATGATGCCGTTAAAGCCCTGATTCATACAAAATAAGAGTTCTGCTAAAAACATTCATGAATAATAATATTAATACATTATTTAGGCATAATTCGGATACAGGTGAAGAAGATGAGAATCTTCGTCTCCTTTAAAGAAGACGTCAGCATCACTCAGAGACCCGCGGTGATTGACAGGTGTGGTGCTGATGCGGTCTTCTGTTCAGGGTCACGATGGAGAAGCAGGAAGGGATTTTTCTGCTTCTGTAAACAAACTGATGTTTATGGATTTCATCTTTCTCCTCGGTGAGTTTCTTTAAATAATCAGACAGTGAGACGCTTGTGCTGCATCTTTGGTGGTAAAGTGAATATTTGTGCCTAAGCGAGGTCCTGGTGAACATCAGATGGTGAACGTGGACGGAAGCAGCAGAGATCAGGATGAATTCTCACGTCGTCTGGAGTCTGGAGCAGCCAAGCATCAGTTTCCATTGATCCCTGCTGTCACTTTAATGATGAACGCTCCATCCATCAGAGTCCCGTCCAGAACAGAGCTCTCATTATCGGGCCTGCGTACTCCATCAGCACCAGAATGTTCCTCGGATCAGCAAGCAGAACGGCCGGATTTGTGGCGAGCACTCACATACCTATTGATCGTAGGACCCGAGACCAGTGATGAAGATTCAAACGGTTTCATCCATTGAGCTGAGTTTTTCATGGAAGACCTAGAGCAAAAAGCCATAGCCCCCCCCCCCCCCCCCCCCAAACTGCAAAATAAAACTATGGAAACACTACGTAGACGACATACTGGGAATCATACCAAAAGGACAAACAGAAACACTAACACAACACTTGAATAACATTGACGACATGGGCAACATGAAGTTCACTTATGAGTCAGAAACAGAAGGCAGCATAGCATTTATGGATATGAAAATAACCAGGCAGACCGACGGGACCCTAAACATAAACACATACAGGAAACCAACACACACAGACCAATATTTATTATGGACATCAGAACACCCCACCATACACAACATGTCAGTAATCAGAACATTATATCACCGAGCAAACATGATAGCAGAAGAAAGAGACCGTAAACAAGAAGACAAACACATACAACACGCTTTAAAGACTTTAAACAAAGGAAAACAACAAACAAAAACAGAAAGCAAAGAACAACCCCAAAAAAGAACCAGAAACCCAGAAAGACAAGAACCAAAACCAGTGATAACCCTACCATACATCAGAGGCATAACGGAAAAAATAAGAGCAACAATGAAAAAACACAACATAAACACACCAACAAAACCATACACAACAGTTAGAAACAGACTAGTGCACCCAAAAGACAAAATACCAGCTGGACTTAAATGTGGAGTCGTTTACAAAATCCCATGCAAACTCTGCAATTAAACATACATAGGAGAAACCGGACGCCAACTCAACACACGAACAATAGAACACAGAAAGGAGTGTGAGAAAGAAACAAGTCAAAGACACAAGAGCAGCAAAAGAAGAAGCAGAAAGAACAATAAAGAAGTCAGCCGTAACAGATCACTGCACAAGAGAAAACCATATAATGGACTGGGACAACACAAGGATCATAACCACCAAACAACAGAAATACAAAAGATGGATAAAAGAAGCTATAGAGATAAGGAGACGTGGATGTGGGACCATGAACAGAGACGATGGAGTTTACACGATGGACCGCGCATGGGACTGCATCGTCAGAGAGGGGAGAGCGGGCAGCAGAGGGCGACAACGTCCTCTGCTGCCCACAGATAAACGGAGAAGGAAGTGACTCTCCACCATCAGCGTCAGCCTGAAGAAGTCTGCAGCCACAGGCGAAACGTAGCGAAAAAAACAGGTAACGAAACCATTTCTGTTTTTTAAAAAAGAACGATAGCATGGAATTAGTTATTGGTAATCCTGATGGATGGGTGTTTCACCACGGAGGCTGCGCTCCGTCCACTGTAGTGTAAAGCGAGACGATTATTAACAATATTAAAGCTCCGATGTATGATTAAGTGTGTTAAAATGACGTTATTTATTTATATGAGCGTCTGCGTTCAGAGATCTTCTCATTCCGGTGTGAGAGCAGCAGCAGAACCCTGTAACACCACCAGCAACAGAAGCTGGTAGGGATCCAGACTTTTTAACAATCAGCTTTGGTGTAAAGTGAAACGCTGTTTACAGCATAAAGTTATAAATCCAGAGGGGTGAATTTAGGCAAAGTCAGCAACATGTTTACATCGGTGAACAGCTGCAGAGAGAACATAAGCGAACGTTGGTAAGCTAGTTAACATACCGCTCTCTATGAGCCCCCGCTAGATGTGCTACTTCTGATAACTGAACTGGGCATGAACTAGTTGAAGGAATGCTGGAGGAGTTTTGTTTTTGTTTTGATCGCAAAAACAATTTCAGACTCTACTTTTCCCTTTGTTTAGTACTCGTGTCACTCACTGTTTACAAGCTTTTGCCGTCCACCATGTTGGACCCACGCAGGGGCGCAGATAGGATTTTCAAACTGGGGGGGACAAAGTTCCAATGTACCCTCCCCCAAACACATGCACACACACACACACACACACACACACACACACACACACACACACACACACACACACACACACACACACACACACGTACACACACGCGTACACACACACACACGTACACACACACACACACACACACACACACACACACACACACACACACACACACACACACACACACACACACGTACACACGCACACACACAGGTGCGCACACGCACACGCACACACACACACACGTACACACACACACACACACACACGCAGACACACACGCAGGCACACACACACACACACACACACACACACACACACACACACACGTACACACACACACACACACACACACACAGACACACACACACACACACACACACACACACACACACACACACACACACACACACACACACACATACACAAACTATTGCAAGAGCCTTAACTAGAGCTCAGTCAGTTTGTGTAATTTCATCCAACGGTTTACGTAAAAACTAACTTTTATATACGTGTTTGAAGCCATTATGCAGAGGAACGCTGGCAGCAAAGCTCTGCCTGATCAACACTATAAATGATAAATGATCCACACTTGTATAGCGCCTCTCAGAGTAAGGACTCCAAAGCGCTTTACACTACAGCGTATCATTCATTCATTCACACACTGATGGTGATGAGCTATGATGTTGCCACAGCTGCCCTGGGGTGCACTGACAGAGGCGCTCCACTATTTAATTCAGTTACTTGTTATTCTTCCAATCAATTACTAACCAAAACCTCATGCTTTATGCAATACATTAAATGATTTTCAGCATACCGATCTTTACAGAAAACATAAAAGCCCTAAAAAACTGCACATAAAATATAATAAGAAACGAAATTCAAGTATCACTTAGAGCAGTAGTTCCCAAACTTTTCAGCCTGACCAACAGATGTTCCTTCGTATTTTTACGATATTTAGAAATTTTCATTATATTTGGAAAGTTTTATTTACAAATAAATATATAAAGCTCTTTTTAAATTGCACATTTTACTTTTTTTATGATTATGTGGCACACTTCAATTCAATTCAATTCAAGTTTATTTATATAACGCCAAATCACTACAAGAGTCGTCTCAAGGCACTTCACATAATAAACATTCCAATTCACAGTTCATTAAGCCAATTAGAAATAATGTTTCCTATATAAGGAACCCAGCAAATTGCATCAAGTCACTGACTAGTGTCAGTGACTATACAGCAATCCTCATACTAAGCAATCATGCAGTGACAGTGGAGAGGAAAACTCCCTTTTAACAGGAAGAAACCTCCAGAGAATCCTGGCTCAGTATAAGCAGCCATCCTCCACGACTCACTAGGGATCGAGAAGACAGAGCAGACACACACACACACACACACACACACACACACACACACACACACACACACACACACACACACACACACACACACACACACACACACACACACACAAGTAATGTGTCTATAGTTATATTGTGATGTCTTAGTAAATATTGTATTTGGTGAAAGATAAACTTTATTTTATTTATCCTAGTGGATCTATAATTAAACGGATAAACTAGTATTAGCACATCAAAAGTCAAAAGCAAAAAGTTATTATCAGGAGAGATAGAATGTATTAGTGGTTAGCAGCAGTGTGCTAGTCGAAGGCCCCCTCCATGAGGCCACCACAGCTCAGCAGAACGTCACTGTAGCTTCTTCTGGGGAGAAAAACACTTACAGAGAAAATAAAGTTAACAGCTGAAATTGCACAAAATAGTACAGTTAAAGAGCAGACTGTAGAATAAAGCAGTAGAGTGTGAAAAGTGGTCAGTGTGTCCTCCAGCAGTCTAAGCCTATAGCAGCATAACTACAGAGTTAACTCTGGATAATCTATCCTATTTAGATGTAGGCATGTTGGAGACAGGGCAAGGGAGAGCCGTCTTTACCGACTGTGCACTCCACCTCCCTGTAATCCCCCACTTGTCCAGATTTAGGCTAACATCAGATTTTAACCATAGGCCCTATCAAATAAAAATGTTTTAAGCCTAGTCTTAAAAGTAGACAAAGTGTCTGCCTCACGGACTAAAGCTGGGAGCTGGTTCCACAGGAGAGGAGCCTGATAACTAAAAGATCTGCCTCCCATCCTAAATTTAGATATTCTTGGAACCACCAGTAGACCTGCAGTCTGAGAGCGAAGTGCTCGGTTAGGAACATATGGAACAATCAGATTACTGATGTATGATGGACCTTGATTATTAAGAGCTTTATATGTGAGAAGAAGGATCTTAAAATGTATTCTGAATTTAACAGGTAGCCAATGTAGGGAAGCTAAGACAGGAGAGATATGATCTCTCTTTTTAATTCTCATCAGAACTCTAGCTGCAGCATTTTGGACAAGCTGAAGACTTTTAACTACATTCTGTGGACTTCCTGAGAGTAATGAATTACAGTAATCCAGTCTTGATGTAATAAATGCATGAACTAGTTTTTCAGCATCACTCCTGGAAAGGATGCTTCTAATCTTAGCAATATTCCGAAGGTGGAAAAAGGAAATCCGACAAACTTGTGAAACCTGGGATTTGAATGACATGTCCTGGTCAAAGATAACACCAAGGTTCCTTGCTTTGCTCTCGGAGATTAATGTAATGCCATTAAGGTCAGGCAATTGGCTAAGCAATTTCCTTTTCTGGATTTCTGGTCCAAAGATGAGAACTTCTGTCTTGTCTTGATTTAAAAGCAAAAAGTTTAGAGTCATCCAATTTTTTATGTCCTCAAGACAAGCCTGTAATCTACCCAACCGATTAGGTTCATCAGGGTTAATGGATAAATATAACTGAGTATCGTCAGCATAACAGTGGAAGTTTATCCCATGCTGTCTAATGATTTTACCAATTGGGAGCATATATATAGTAAAAAGAATTGGTCCAAGCACTGAACCCTGTGGTACTCCGCAAGTAACCCTGGAGTATGAAGAAGATTTGTCATGTACATTTACAAAATGAAATCTGTCAGACAGGTAGGACCTAAACCAGCCTAACACTGTTCCTTTGATCCCTACAACATGTTCAAGTCTTTCTAAAAGAACATTGTGATCAACTGTGTCAAAGGCAGCACTGAGATCTAACAAGACTAGAACAGACACAAGATTCTTATCTGAGGCCATGAGAATATCATTTGTAACTCTCACTAATGCAGTTTCAGTGCTGTGATACTCTCTAAAACCAGACTGAAATTCCTCAAACAGAGCATTAGTGTTTAAATGCTGACATACTTGGATGGCCACTATTTTCTCCAGGACTTTGGATAAAAATGAAAGGTTAGATATTGGTCTATAATTCAGTGGGTCATCTGGATCCAGAGAAGGCTTCTTAAGTGAAGGTTTGATTACAGCAACCTTAAAATCTTGTGGTACATACCCATTTACTAAGGATAGATTGATTATATCTAGAATGGGGGCAGTAACTAAAGGAAATGCATCTTTAAATAATTTGGTTGGGATTGGATCTAAAATGCAAGTTGAAGGTTTAGATGAAGCTAATATTTTTGATAACTCTGAAAGCTCAACTGGATCAAAATGGTTCAAGCACAGATGAGGTTCTACAGTCACCTCTGAAGCTGCCTCACTTACTGAGGAAGAATAAATCGCATTAGGGAGGATGCTAAAGATTTTGTTTCTAATAGAATTAATTTTACTTGTAAAAAATCCCATGAAGTCATTGCTGCTGAGGGCTAAGGGAATAGATGGCTCAGAGCTACGATTCTGTGTAAGTTTAGCAACTGTACTGAAAAGAAATTTAGGATTATGCTTATTCTCCTCAATTAATGCTGAAAAATAAGCAGTTCTAGTTTGTTGAAGCTTATTTTTATAAAGCACAAGACTATTTTTCCAGGACAAGAAGGCCTCCTCATGGTGCGTAGAGCGCCATGTTCTCTCCAATTTCCTAGAGTTTTGTTTTAAGGCTCGTAGATGAGAGTTAAACCAGGGAGCCAACTTCCTGTCCCTAATTACCTTCTTTTTTAAAGGGGCAACACGTAAAGAGGAATTAACATGATGAAGTAAGGCATCAATTTGTGAGGGGCTAGAACTGAAAATATTGCCCTCTGAGATGCACTTGTCTTCCACATCTAACGCATCAGCATCTGCCTCTTTTGAAAGCTTTTTTTTTACATTGTCACTACGTCTGTCACGTTAGCGGTGTTTTACCATCATTTCTACATCCATCACGTCCCAGAGAAGGTTAAACCAACATCAAACCCAACATTTGGAGCTTGTAAACTCCACACACCTCTCGTGCAGCACCAGCTGTCTGATGCTGCAGCAGTGTCCATCTTCCCGGCTGGATGAGTGAATTTCTTCATCAGAGTCAATATTCTGCTTCATAATCAGAGTCAGTCAGATACCAGACAAAGTGATCAGTCAACAAAGACCAGACCTGCCGGCAATTATACGTTTTATCTAATATTTGTGCTCTTCATGCTGCACGCATCTCCTAATCCCCCCGACTGGGAGCCTCTCGGCGGGAGGCGATTTTCAAACTCTAAAAACTCCCAAACTTTGCTCAGCCTGAAGGTTCCACATCTCCACTATCTTCTGGTGTAAAGTAGTAACTTCATGAGGGATCATATTTGTAGATGAGACTTGTTAAAGTCAGCAATGAGGCTTTGGCACTTATAACGAGTAAGTCCCAACACTGACAACAACGTACTGAAACTAGAACCAACATGCATAAACAGACAGATCGGTCCCGCCTACTTACACTGTTGGTCTTTTTTAAATACGCAGTAATCGTTGCTTTTCATCCGGCATCCTAGCAGCAACCACTTTGGCGCCTCTGGAGTTGGTGTTTGTTTACGTCATGCTGCATTCAATGTCATTGGAAAAAGGAGCTTCTAGCGCTTAACCTCCGATTTTGTTTTCTTTCTAGCCTTAGTGCGGGGGACGGATCGGGGTCGATCTGAATCGGGGGGGGGGGGGGGGGGTTCAGATCCCCCCCGTCCCCCACCCTATCTGCGCACCTGGACCCACGTGATTAGGTGACGTCGGTGCAAAGGGTCAATAGACGAATGCTCGTTCACCCCTGGATTTGAAGCACATCTTGGGAGTGCAGAGCAGCAGGAGATAAGGGGTGAGGAGGTCAGACAGATAAGGAGGTGCTCGGTCATGAAGCCATTTAAAAACAAAGTCAATAACTTGAACTGTACACGGAAGGCGACGGAGCCAAAGGACAGGACCGGGGTGATGTGGCTACATTGTCACGTGTGGAAGCTGACCACAACCCTTTTGCACCCTTGACCTGCACTTCGCTAAAGTCCGCATCGATGCGGGTATTACCCACAATCCACTTCTGCGTGGCATATATAATATAATTATTTATTTTGTCACAGTTGATTAGTCAAAGCAAACCTTGTATCATGATAGCTCCACTCATTTCAAAATAAAAGCACAAAATAAAAAAATTACTGAAGACAGGATTCTTTTCCTCCAGTTGAGTTTATCAGAGCTTTGGACTAATTAACATGATTTGTTTCATAATTGTCTGAGCAGTCAGCTGAGTGCAGAAACACATGGCTGTAACGAGACGGTAAAATATTGCTCTGGTGTGTTTAATGTTTCCTAAACAGCAACAGGAAAAGGCTCTTTATCTGTGGAACTGAGTCGTTACCTGTCTGACATCATAACCCAGCAGAACAAAGTTCTTGTCGGGAGAAACAGCAAACTTAGTCGCTTTAAATGTCACCTGAGAAGTAAAAAGAAACACAGTTTTATCTGTTTTATATTGTATTTGTCTAAAATTATTTTTACTTAATCTGTCTTCCTCACAAAGGTGTTGTTCTTCACCAGGAGGTCCGTCTCTTCACTTTTCACGTCAACTTTGAAAACATCTCCATCCCAGCTTCGAAAGATTATTTCTTCAGCTACGAAAAACAAAAACATATTCGTCCAAAAGATAAAAGAAAAGCTTGTGAACTTCCTTTTACAGACTTGTTACATCTCATCCTGAAGGATCCAGGAGTTCCTGGATTATTATTAAATATGAATAATACGTATTAACCTCCAAATAAACCAATCCCTCCATCGTCTTCAGGTCTGTGGCTGATTATTATCATCATCATCATCATCATCATCATCATCATCATCATCATCATTATTATTATTATTATTACTATTATTATTATTATTATTATTATTATCATTCCTAGTATTATTACTATTACTATTGTTATTGTTATTAGTATTATTATTATTATTGTTATTATTACTATTATTTTTATTACTATAATCATTATTAGTATTATTCATATTAATATTATTATTATTATTGTTGTTGTTGTTGTTATTACTAGTATTACTATTACTATTATTATTAGTATTGTTATTATTATTATTACTAGTATTATTATTATTATTATTATTAATAATAATCTCAATTTACAATGTCTAATCTGGGGAAATTTTCATTCCTGCTCCTGGTCAGCCATGGTGTCACCGTGGTAACTAGATTAGGGTCCAGCAGAGCAGATACACGTCTGCGAGGTTCTGCCCGGAACGAAGACGGTGACTGATCTTCATTTGGCACTCGGACATGTGAGATTACATCTCAGGTTTTAACCAGAGTTCCATCAGAAAATCTGCTCTAATCCCCAAACAAGCCCCTAGTCCACCGAAGCCTAAATCCCATTAATGCATGACAGATTGAAATTATCGGATGGTTCTCGTCTTGTCCTGACGCCATCCAGGAGACTACTCAGAGGAAATAAACAGGAGATGGATGGAGTTCCTGCTCCCAATCCTCTGATGGATTCTTGTTGTTTAGAGGAAAAACAAACAGCTCTAACCCTAAAATAACTAGAAATGTGGAAATGAGACATTAAACCTCAGAAGTGATGCTAATTGTCTTCATATGGAATACATTATTGCAGAAAAGTCGGTCTTACTTGATTTATGTAATGAAACCTTTTAAAATAAAACTTTGTTTAAAACAATATAATAAAATTGTTAATCTTAAAGACCAGGAAGAATAAACCTGTTCCGTTTCTATTGATTTGAGGCAGTGATGGTGATAAAACAACATCTCTCTGGGGGGATCCCAAGGCACTCCCTGGCCATCCAAGAGACATAGTCTCTCCACCGTCTCCTGGGTCTCCCTTTAGGTCTCCTCCCGGTTGGACGTGCCCGGAAAACCTCACCAGGGAGGCGTCCAGGAGGCATCCTGACCAGATGCCCAAGACTCCTCAACATGGAGGAGCTGCGGGTCTACTCTGAGCCCCTCCCAGATGACAGAGCTTCTAACCCTAACTCTAATTTCCCTCTGGGATTAATAAAGTATCTTTGAATTTGAATTGAATGTAAATAGAAGGGAGAGCCCAGCCACTCTGTGATCCACGATCTTGTTCTTTCGGTCACTACCCAAAGCTTGTGACCATAGGTGAGGGCTGTGCCTGGCCGGGCTCCATGGGTAAAGCCTGGCCACCGTGCGCTGGCCAACGTGCCCCAAGGCTCCAGAAGGGGGCCCCGGTGTCATGGGTCTGGGCGAGGAAACAAGGTTTCCATCTATGTTTATATTATGTTTATGTTTATGTATTTAGCAGACGCTTTTGTCCAAAGCGACTTACAAGTGATAATCAGCATGTTGCCCTTGAGGCTAACAACAACAATAACAACAACTTGACATCAATCATGGAGAGGAGGGAACAAAGGATAAGGTTTGGGAACCAATTAAAAATTGAAGTAACCTTTTTATTTATCTTTTCCCACAACAGAGATGTTTGTTTGGCTCTACCTGCAGACGTAAAACTAGAGGGATTTTATTTTTGTTTGCAGAAAGGACTTTTAGCAGGACTCTGGTGAGCGTTCCTCTCCATCCTCCAGCTGCAGGCTGAATGCTCCTTCTCCTAATTGGCTTCACAGGATTTCACCACTTCTCACTTTGACGTGCTCCGAGTTTCATCCTAATGAAACTTGGTTTATTTTAAAACTTCGAGCATCCGTTCCAAACAGCCTTCGACCAATCTGAGATGACTGAATTTCACAAAGAACATTTGTGTTTCCTACAGGAACGTACGGCTGATCCAGGTTGCATCCGGGTCGTGGATCTGGAAGTTCCTCTGAAAGAGATCATCCAGCATCAGCTGTGAGCCGAAGGGATTCCCACCATTGTCTAGGAGAGAGGGAGAGGGAGAGAGAGAGAGAGAGAGGGAGAGGGAGAGGGAGAGAGGGGGGGGGGGAGAGAGAGAGAGAGAGAGGGAGAGGGAGAGGGAGAGAGAGAGAGAGAGAGAGAGAGAGAGAGAGGGAGAGGAGAGAGAGAGAGAGAGAGAGAGAGAGAGAGAGAGAGAGAGAGACAGAGAGAGACACAGAGAGAGAGAGAGATCTGTTCCTGTAGATTGGGATGTTCATGAAAAGCTTCCAACTTGTTAAAATGTCCTCTGACCAGATTATCTCTAAACCCGTCCAGATATGAACCAGTTTGGAATTGACAGATTCATGTTTTCTTATAACAAAAAAAAAATCCACTTTTATGCTAAGAAGATATATGGAAAATAATCCAGGAACAGAAAAGGAAATAAAGACCATAAATTCCAGGAGTTTTCTCGTTATTCCCACTAAACGCCAACCCACGCTCCGAACACAGGCAGGCTGAGGATTACCAGTTGTCTATCTCTGTGGTCCTGTTGTCATGGACCTCTCTGCCTCCAGCTAAGGAGCTGCTGGGATTGTCTCTGAACCTCCACTGGGATGGAGCTGGAGCTCATGGAGGTGGAGGCAGATTTAAGGAGCAACTTCCAACAGTGTGACAAAACCACACAGAGGGAAGCTTCAGGATTAATTAGATCGAATGAGAAAAAGTTTCTGAGCAGACTGGGTTCTACTGGTTTAACTGGTGGATGTGGTGTCCCATAGGCGCTAAAACAATTCCAGATCCCAGAAGGTCCCTAAACAAGTTTTTTGGGACCTTTTGTGTTTTAACTGCAGACCTGTTTAGCGTTCTCATGGCCTCGGACGTTTCAGGACTAAAGGTGTGGACTCACCCTTGGACAGCAAAACTATGGACAGTCCAATGAAAGACAGAACCACCGCTATGACCAGCAGCGAGATCCCGATGCCTTTCCAGTTCCTGTCTGGTCCGATCGGTCCAATATCCTACAGACACAAATAAAGAGTTAGAGGACAAAACGGGTCAAATACCAAACAATATACAGAAAAAAAACCTGGACTCGTCCCATTCATGCCGGAAAAACACTAAACATGGAAATAAGGACGTAGCTTTTTACCAAACTGGTAAAAAAAAAAAAAAAGACTAAAACTACTAAATAAAAGAAAGCCCCAAACCGGAAACCAGATCATATTTAAATATTATTTAGTCTTGATTCACGGATGCAAATCTCAGCAGGAACTAGGGGCTAAAGTCCAACAGGCCAGCAGCAGGAACAAAGAACTGGGAGAAGTTTCTACAGGACAGGGGCCTCATCTATCAAGCTAGCTTACGCACAAAACGGGGTCGGAAAACTGCGTAAGCAACTTTCCACGCAAACTTTGGGATTTATGAAAGAAAACTTAGAGCAAAAATGTGCACAACATTAAGTTGACTAAGGACCTGGCTTACACACATGTTGGACATGGAGAGCGCCTGCAGTGCTGCTGCTGAGAAGATACAATCATGAAATCCTGCAGCATCATCACTTGTACTGCTTCGTTGTCACACAGAACAAGACCCCCTACACACACACACACACACGCGCGTGCGCGCGCTCACACACACACGCGCACATGTGCGCGCACTCACACACACACGCACTGTAAGATTCTGATTGGATCAGTGAAAAGAATGTGTTATGTCTTTAACACTACGTGAAATGAGACCTGTTGAACCATTTAAAGTTACATTACTTCATTTCTAAGATCATAATAAAATAATTAATATTTTAATTTCACATCTTATTATATTGACTAACACTTTGATGGATTAGCTTTATTAAAATATAGTCCTTTGATTAATCAAAAGAAACGAGTTCATTCTTCTTTCTTCTGTCTTCATGCTGGAATGTAAACAGTTTAGAAACGACTGTATGACCTTCAGGCTGTTTCAGACACACTGACACTGTGTCAAAAGGAAACAGCTGTTAGGGTAGAAATGGCTCCTTCGTCACGTTACACGTGCGCACGCGTGCACACACACACACACACAACCCGAAGGGCAGAATACGGAATGCAGAATATCAGCAGGGGGACAGATTGAGACAGAACATAATGCGTCTGTGACAGTGTGTGTGTCCTGTCACTGTGACCCGATTGATCATGCACCCTGGCTACTTGGACAAGGAAGATCTCTGTTTGAGTGACTGGTTAGTGCATGTGACTTTCACTCAGGGGTCTGTGGATTGAATCGATTGGACCATTGTTTTTATATCCGCCACAGATCTCTCTGAAGAAGTCAGCATTGACGGCTTCAGCAACGCTGTGCCACTCTGTGGATTTTCTCTTATTTGTTTTGCAAAAGCACTTCCTTTCATTTCTCCACCTCACCCACAGGTACCTCAACTCCTGCTTCTGTGAAATTGTGCTTCCTTGATCTGCCTTGATCTATGGTCGCCATGTCATTGGCGGAGCGCTGCAACAGCCGGCTTATGTATATGCATGAGAACCACAAGGCACTTTGCATTGACTATTGATGGCAGTAAGTGGGCGTGGTGAGGGCGGGATGAGACTGAAAAGCAGCTGAGAAACATTCTAGATAGTCTCTGATTTATGAAGCGGAGATTGCGTGCAGCTGTGTGTACTCCATGTTTGATAGATCACAAACCTACTTGGTGTAAGAGCTTTTTTTTGCTAAGCTTAAGTACGGTTTTAGTAAGGATTCTACGCAATGTTTGATAAATGAGACCCCTGGTGATTAATGAGACGCAGCTGATGGAGGTCAGGTGAGGAGGAGCAGCAGGAGACCATGGTCCAATCAGAATACGCCAAGTGCCATTGGAGGAAGTGAGCAGTAAGGCTTCGAGTGCGCGAATTGAGACAGGGAGCATTGCGTCATCGATCGCAACGCATGTCAATCGCTGTTGGTGCTACTTAAAAAAAAATCTTTATTAACAACTTTCAAACAAACAATTCATTGACTAATTTTTTTTTATTGCTGTCCACATTAAATCTTTGTCTAAAACACTCGGAGCATCAATAAATATCAATAATAACCCTAACCCTAGAAAAAGCACTTGAGCCTTTGCTCCGCCTTCTTCTCAAAATTTCCACGCAGCAATCGATGGGTAGCACACTTCACCCAAGTCCACTTCCATGCAGACTTAGGTGAATTGCGGATTAACGATGCAAAAGGGGCGTGGTCAAATTCCACACTTGACAATCGAGACACCCTACACACTCGCAGCCCTGGACGGGAACGCACAGTTGAAGGGCGCAAATGTGGAAGTGCGAAAATTATTCCTGAACTTTGAAGAAAAAAGAACTTCATAAAAAGAAGTCAGATAATTATTAGGACGTTTTTGTGTTTATATTCTGATCCAATCATGTGATTTTTAAAGGATCGGGAGTAAATAATCAGATTTAACCTTTCAAAACAACAAACAGATATAGAGAATTTCAAATGGAATAACATCGGCTTAGTTTTAATTCAAACAAGTTCCTCTAAATCAATATTTGTTTCTTGTACGAAACCAACTCAGTGACATCACACAATTTACAGCAGGCAGGGATTCAGACAACTCTTCCTAAAGTCAAGAACCACCGACTCCCAGGGGTCCTCACCACAAATCCTCATATTTGATTGTTCTAAACTGCCAGGATGATTGTGAAGGACAGACTGATGCTTGGACACGTCCTCCAGTTATTCAGCTTTGTTTCTGCGGGGCTATCAGCTCTCCGGGCAACTGGAAACCTTTCTGTGGATTTGTGGATCTGTCTACCGATCAGCTTTTTAAGCCCTGCGTCCACCACCTGTTGTCCTGTCTCTGTGGACATTATGTCTCTGTGGCATCTAGATCCTTTGGAAGGAAGTTTGGTTCCTCTGAATCTGTATCCGTCCTTCGTAAACAGCAGAGACCTTTTGGTTTGTGGTCAAAAGTACATCTTTTATCACAAACACGAGTCACATCAGATAGTGAAACTTTTTTATTTAGTTTTCATCATCATTCCTCTTGTTTCTAGAAGGACGTCAGGATGAAGCAAAACAAAAATAAGATGGAGTCAGTCAGATGCAGCATCAGACGTCAGGTCCAGATTTAATTTTCAGGATTCTAATCTCTTCTCGTCCACTAACAGGAACTCCTGCCTCCCACAGGAGCTTCTGCAGAAAAGATGCAGCTAGAAGCCGAAACTGTGTTTGTGTTTGACAGCAGCTGAGCGAGCTGGAGAGCTCCCCGGCTGCAAAAGCAACACTAGAAATCCAAACACATACTAAATACTGCATCTCATCTGCAGCATGTCAGCGTCTCCTCTCCGGCTTCAAACACACTCCTCCTCTCCCTCTCTGGGTGACAGCACCATGTGGTCGCACTTCCACCCAGATTCTGGGTTTTGTTTGAAAGAAACACAGCTGTGTGGAAGAAGAAATCCAGAGGTCAGAACGTTGTCGCAGAACAAATGATCCATGTTACTGTAAGTGACGCAACATTTAGAGAGCAGAACAGGCTGTCGGGATGAATCCCGGATAAAATCAGACTCCATGTCTTCCTCACTGGGGAGCATTCGAGATGTTTTCCTCTCTGCTTCAGTCTTTCCTGGGATTTGTGCAGCAGCTGTAGCTTTAGGTTTCACAGCCTTTCTGATGTTATGATGGTTTAAATAGTGGATGTTTATTAACAATAATAATAATAATAATAATAATAATAATAATAATAAACAATAATATTAATATTAATAATAATAATAAAAACAATTATTATTATTATTATTATTATTATTATTATTATTATTAATAATAATAATAATAATAAACACAAAAAGATGGCGGAGTGAGTGAGTGGTTGCTTGCGGTCTCTCCTGCATAATTTAATTAACTACCTGGATTTTTGACCTTTTTGCATTTGGTGCGTGAATTTAAGTTCTTTTTTGGAGGAGTGGGGAAGAAGGTGAATTACTAAGCCATATTACTGATAAAAATGCCTCCTAAGCGCCAGCAGAAAGATCAAACGAAGGGCTCTGATGACGACGCTGCTGACGTGTCACTGGAAATCCTGAACAAGGAGACTCTGGAGTCTACTCTTCAAACGTTTTTTGACAAAGCAGAAAAACATGCCAAGGTTCGGTTTGATAGTCTTGATTCTCAACTTGACTCAATTCGATCTACACTTGACAAGCACACGCAAGAGCTTGAAACTCAAAAACAAATCACCACCTTACTCCAAAAAAGGGTGCGGTGCGTGGAGGACGCTCCCGTGGCTCAGAGCGCAGACCTGCAGAAACTCCAGAGGAAGATTACTGCCCTCGATGATCAAAGTAGAAGGAATAATATCCGGATCCTCAATTTAAAAGAGGGGATTGAGCTTAACAATGCTCTATCCCATTTTAGGAGCAACTTGTTGGTGTGGTTCCCAGAGCTGGCGGGATCTCCTCCTGATATAGCTCGGGCACGGTGGGTTGGACAACCTGGCGCGTCAGGATCTCCTCGGACCTTGGTGGTCTGTTTTCTCCGAGCGAATGACAGAGATTGGATCCTGGCTCTGGCAAGGAAGTCTGAGGTGTTGGTGGCTGGTAAATCGGTTCGATTTGCTGCTGATTTCAGTGATGAAACAGCTCGTCGGAGACGCCGCTGCTTCCCGGTTTTGAACCGGGCTCACGCCTTGGGTCTACAAGCTTTTCTTCGTTATTATCCTGCAAACATCAAGATGATCTCTGATGGTGATCATCTGCTTTTTACAGACCCAGTGGCTGCTGAAAGTCACTTGGACTCTTTGGGTTGAGATGCCCTGAGATGTTTTGGGTGTACGAGCACCTGCGGGGGCGGATTCATGACTTTCCTCTTTCTTTTAATATTAGATTCTGGCTCTTCCGCAGAGCAGGTAATTCCTTTTTGTTTTTTGCTTCTCCTCTTGTTCAGTGAAGAAGTCAAACTTCGTCTAAGGTCAAATTATTCTTACTTTATTATTTATTTATATTGATGAAATCCAGCCACTGTGTTGAGTTATGGAAAT